ATGGCATCCTGTGGGTACCTCAAAGGCTTCAGCTTTAAAAATAAGACAAAAGTAGTGCAAAGTCTTGCTGATAAAACATGATCACTGTAGAGTTTGTTACAGGCAGAATCTTGGAGAGGTGGCCCAGTGGTTAAGAGTACCTACTGCTCCTGCAGAGGACCAGGGTTTTGGGTCCCAGTACCCACCTTGGTGACTCACAGACATTTGTGACTCCAGCTCCAGGGGCTCCAATGGATGCTAGACATATGCATGGCACACACACATACATGCAGGCCAAACACTCATCCACACAAAACAATCTTAAACAACTCCCAGGATCCCATTGCCTCTCCAGATGACTGGTCCAGACCATCGGGGTTAGTCCCAGCCCTGGTGACTCCAACGTGCCTGAATCTGAGCGGCACAGGTGACAGGAGCTGGATGGACACCCTGTGTCCCTGCTGCCGTGGTTACCCTTCCTCAGCGTTGGTGTTCCGTGCATTATGAGGGATGTTGAGAACTTGGCCTCTGTCTCCTGCCTCCTCCGCATGCCTCCTCCACAGCCCAGCTGGTGAGGAGGGACTGGATTTATAGGGTGCTTTGTGGTGGAAACCCTGTGCAAATGTAAGCAAACTCAGGAGGGAAACCTCACCGTTTTATGAGGTATCAGAGAATCTGTTTGTATTAACCATGTTGCATCAGAACCAATATTCAAATGCAGCCATGTGTCATGCTGCAGACAGGCACCAGCTGATTGTCCACCTCATCTTTGGTTGTTGTTGTTGTTGTTGTTTCAAGACAGGGTTTCTCTGTGTAGCTTTGAAGCCTGTCCTGGAACTGGCTTTGTTGACCAGGCTGGCCTCGAACTCACAGAGACCCCCCGTCTCTGCCCCTGAGTGCTGGGATTAAAGATGTGTGCCACCACTGCCCTGCATTACCCCCATCTTTTAAAGGGCTGATCAGGACAGTAGTTTCCCTAAAGTTTAAAAGAGTAAAATTACATTTAAAAATGTTTTTTTACAAAGGAATATTAGGTTTATTTTACTGCTTATCAGTAGCTCAGTAATAAAAGGTTGTTTATATGATGACCTTTGTGCTAATTACTAAAACTTTAAAATTAATTGTCCTGTACAAGTTATGTGTCAGGATCCTGTTTGTTACTTCAGTCTGTTCTTTGACAGTTTCATGCATGTATACAATGTATTTGGACTGCTCTGACTCCCATCCCATGCTCTCATCTTCCTCCCTTCCCTATCCAAGTCCCATTCCCTACCAATCTCTTTCCCAGGCTCATGTTCTTTTGTTTTGTTTGTGTACCTCCGGGCTTGACTAGGGCCTTCTGTGTGGCCTTGGTATTGGAACTATCCTCTGGAGTCTGGCGGGCTCTCCAGAGGGTACATAACTGGAGAAAGTAGTCCCCCTTCCCATCCCCCAGCCCATACTTAGCCTGTAGGTGAGCAGTAAAGTGTGGGGTCCCGTGAGCATCCGTGTCCCTGCCCATCCACGGATGACTGTTGCGCAGGACCAGTGCAAATAATTGCGGCTGCTCTAAGTTCATGCTTACACTGGCTGTGTTGTGTGTAGAGAATGGGACTTCTCTGCCCTCCTCCCTGTTTCCCAGCTCCCTGCTCCTACATTCTCCCGTCCCCTCTTCTGCAATGTACCAGGAGCTGTATAAATGACTTGTGTAGGACTGCACCCTCGTCATCACTTCTTCTCAGCATCTTACTCAGCACGAGTCTAGGAGACCGTCCACATTTGCTGTGCTGGGGCCTCAGAGCAGCCCCTGTTGCGCCCAGGAAGGAGCCCAGCTGCTGTTCAAGGATGCTAGCTAATCACTAATTAGCTCCCAGCACGGTCTGAACAGAAGGCTGGTGTCCCTCACACTAATCATGCTGTTTATGGTAATCAGGTTATTTGCATCATTAGTATCTCAACATAGCTACGTGAAGACTCGCTAATATATATCAAATATTCATTAAGGAAGTCGGCTCCTGGTGGGTGTGAGCGCCTTTGGTAGTTCAGAGAGACTGAAGTAGACAGGGACGCTTAACTGTTTAAAAATACAAATACCTCTACCTTGAGGTGGGGGTCAGGTGGAAGGAAGGAAAAAAAAAAGAACGGCAAGATATAACTAGCTTATCCCTGGCCGCAGTTTAAATGGAAAGCACACAATGAGAAGCCATTGGGCAATAAGTAAGTAACATTTTATGGAAACATTTAATATTAATAAGAGAGACTGTCTTAGTTAGGGTTACCATTGCTGGGATGAAACACCATGACCAAGTGGGGTTTATTCCAAAAGCAAGGAGAGGTTTGATTTCACTTAACTCTTCTACGTCACTGTTCATTATCACAGGGGGGTCAGGACAGGAGCTCAAACAGGACAGGAACCCGGAGGCAGGAGCCAACGCAGAGGCCATGGAGGGGTGCTGCTTACTGGCCTGCTCCTCACGGCTTGCTCAGCCTGTCTTCTTATATAACTCAGGGCCACCAGCCCAGGGATGGCACCACCATTAGTTTATTGATTTCATATCAATCACTAATTTAAAAAATGCCCTACATACTTGCCTACAGCCTGAGTTTATGGATGCAATTTCTCAACTGAGGTTCCGCTCAGATGACTCTAACTTATATCAGGTTGGCAAAAACGAGGCAGGACAGATATGAACATCTGTATGAACCCTCAGACCCCACTGGCTCGTGTTCGCCAAGAGATAACACTGTCAGGAAACAGTCAAAGTGAAGTTCTGAGGATAGCTTACTGTTCCTTTAGTCATGGAACTAAGATGTACAAACTCTCAATACAAATTAGGTTAGAGTCTTAAAATGTCTTCAATTCATAAAATTAAGGGCATTTTGGCCCTAATTTACTATATATAGTCAAATTGTACTGTTTTCTTTTTACTTAACTAATTGCCATTAGTGCTGTTGGTTTCTAACCATTAAAGATGATTCAGAAGGTTAATTCCTCATAGTCATTTTCTTTAATGTTAAACTGTAATTATAAGAATGGATAATACAGCTAATAATACAATGATACAAGTATTATAATAGAACGTGCTGTAGTAATCGTAACAGATTCCTGTGGGTAGCAACCACTCCTGCCTGTACACACACAGACTAGTAGCTTATGAGTGTGAGCCCTCCTGTGTCGATCTGGTAGCCTTGGTTGTCTTTGAACACCGACATTCCCATCACTCCGCTAGGAGATGGTCCATCAAAACACACTCAATAAAAGAGTGCAGGAGCCACAACTTCACAACTTTATTCTGTGTGTCTCCTGATGCTTTACCTTAAAAATTTCCAAGTCAGTGGAAAGTCACTAGATTTAAAGACAGCAGCATAGTATGCATCTGGAGCCGTGTTTGTTGGTGTGTTTGCATTTGTTTCCTCCTGACTCCTCCCACCCTTTACAGTCCAGGAAAACTCAATAGTAAAATGACAGAAGGATCAAATCTAGGGGAAACCTTATTGTGTGTGCGTGTGCATGTGTGCACACGTGTGGAAGACAGAGGACAACTTGTGTCTCGCCTTTTGTACTCAGATCACTAGCCTTGGCAGCAGTAATCTCTACTGTGAACTGCTTTGCCATCCATCTAGGACAGCTCATTTTGGTGCAGTGCTCCAACTAGCGTGTATTCCTGCAGACCATAAGTCATCCAGTCAGTGGTCACAGTGAGGACATCCACTTTGTCCCCAGGTCTAATCCATCCATCCATCCACCCACCCACCCACCCACCTATCCATCCACCTACCCATCCATCTGTCTACATCTATTCACCCACCCTTCCATTCATCCACCCATCTACCCATCCATTTATCCATCCATCCGTCCATCCGTCCGTCCATCCATCCATCCACCTACCCATCTATCTATCCACCCATACACCCATCCATCCGTCCGTCCATCCATCCATCCATTCATCCATCCACCCACCTACCCGTCCGTCCGTCCATCCATCCATCCATCCATCCACCCACCTACCCATCCATCCATCCATCCATCCACCCATCTACCCATCCATCTGTCCGCCACAACCGTGCAGTCACCTATCTATCCAGTCATCCCTCCCTCTTTGTAACAATAATGGCTCACAAGTTCTTTCTGTTGATTTTTATTCATCACTCTCATTATTTGTTTCTATGATCCATTCTTCCTCAGTCTACTCATAATCTGTCCCACCAGTGTCACTCTGTCTCTGGATGACCACATCTGTTTCTGAGTATCATTTATTCTTTATCCCTTAGCATGGCTATGTAGATTCAAGCATGACCACACTGATATTAATACCCTAGCTTATCTTCATCCAAGTTAACACCCAAATAACTCATTTTATTCTTGCAACAAATATTTTTTAAGTTGCTGCTTTGTTCCTGTTTCTGATTACTCATGGTCCAGTAAGAAACCAGGTTACATTGATCTTCAAAATGTGCCACACTAAATTATGATAATAGCGAGTTATGTGCTCCACGGAGCACAAGAGAAAAGCTTTCCACCCCACTGTGTCATTTAAGGACTCCAAGCAGAGTTACCAACTCCTAGGCCTGAGGGATAAATAAGAATCCACCTGGGGAAGTAGCGTAATGTTCCAGGCCAAGGAAATACATGTTCCCACTAGGGTTAAGTGTGTTAAGTCCAGTCAGTGTTTCCAAGCATGTGTTGGAGGAAGGGTGTGATGGGGGAGGGTGGGTTAGAGACAAGAGGCTGGGAGGGGTGTTGCTGGAGCTTTTTAATGGCTGCTAGAGATCAGGTCCAAATAGTGTCCCACAAGCAATAGTATTCAACCTTGGCTACATGCTCTTATATCCTGGGGGGGGAGGGCTGTCAGAAATATAGCAGCACAGCCCCAGCCCAGACTACTCCTCAGGACCATTAGGAGCACACAGTGAGGAGCTATGGGGCCATATATTTCAGTTTCAGACCCGGCTTCTGGGGAAACGATCACGAAGAAAGTCATCACAGGACACAGAGCCAACCCTGGAAATGATGATATTAAAAGATTCCTTTTATTTTATAGGATTTTGAACTCAACAATGAGCTTAAAATGAATGTTCTAAACTTACTAGAAGAAGTTTTACGAGACCCAGACCTTCTTCCTCAAGAAAGGAAAGCCACGGCAAACATCCTGAGGTAAAGGCCAGGGCAGCTGCTGATGGAGTTGCATCCACTGGGCTCTGCTCGTGGAAAATGGGTTCTGTTGGGCCAGAAGGATACATTTGAGACCTTTCTGGGTACCAGAGGTTGTATGCTCGGCAGCGAGGCGTGTTCTATCTTCTGCTTTGTGGGAACAGTTTGGGATCTGCTGTACAAGAGAGACTTTGGACTGTAGGCTTAAATTGTGTGGGGACAATTTCTGTAGAATCACAGGGTGAAAGAGAGAGACCTTGGGGTGTCCTGACATGAGTCCAGCCAGCATCCTGGAGAGGCTTTTCATTCTGCTTGTGAGGACTAATTAGGAATCGCCAGCTCACCTTGGGGCAGTGTTTCTATGAGAGAGGTGGCATGCCTGTAATTACACAAGATCCTCAGCTTGTTGTGTTGGTCCTGGCCAACTGTTCCGTTCACTCCTTGTCTTAATGGTCTCCATGTCAGATACTCATATGGGGTAGGGTAAAACATGAACCTGAGGTGTCTGTGCGAGGAAGGCTTGGACTTGGCAGGCCCTCCTAGAAAATTGTGTTTGTCCATAGTTGTGATGCCTAGTATTCACACAAATAACACAGTGTCCTATGGTTTCGTTAGCTGATGGGGGGATAATGTTTTTTTCTGGTTCACTCTACATGAAGAGTGCATCCATCAATGGTTTCATGTGCATGTGTCTGTTATGGCTTCTCAGCTCACCCATGGGCACAACTTCTGCCCCTACTCGAGAGTGGGAAGCCTGGCATCTATCTGCTAAGGCCCATTACTGTCTCACCGTTCTGGTTTTCAATTCTTCCTTCACTTACAGCGTGGAAGTGATATTTGTTTTAGCCAAACATGTTTGTATTGTGTCTTGGTGTAATTAATTATAGAGAAAGCATGTGTGGAGAGGAATTCATTCAGCTCGGTTCCTCCCAAATGTAGCAATGCCAAACTTGAGACTGCGGTAATTTAACAATTTTACCACAAGTCATTCTTATTCCCCATTAAGTTCCCAAAGCCAGACCATTGTGATCTAGAAGCAGCTAGAAGTCTAATTGTGTTCTCCATTAGAAAACTGACATGTTCAAGTCCTGACATCTCCTATCCCAAAATATGACCCTGTTTGTGAATAGCATCCCTGAAGATACAGACAGCTAAGTTAGGGACTGTGACAGGTGTCATTTTAAGAAGATGGCCATGGAAGACAAACATATGGAGAATATCATGTGTGGGTGGGGATGGAAATTGCAACTAAATAACCACAAGACAAGAAACACCAGGGATTTCTGGCAGAGCACCTAAAGCTAGACAATGCAAGGAAATGTTTCCTTGGAGACCTCAGGGATACACACCACTGCTGACGTTTTGACCATTGACTTCTGTTCCAGAATTATGTATAACTCTGTTGTTCTTGGTTGCCTACTTGGTGTTTTTTTTTTGCAAGGGTAGCCTAGAAAATTCCATATTTCCTATTCATAAAAACATCTATATTAATTCTGCCAATCAATGAGTATGGGTGATCTTTCCATCTTCTGCTATCTCTTTCAGTTTCTTTCTTCAAACAAAGACTTGATGTTTTTAATAATACAAATCTTTCACTTTTGTGGTTAGAGTTACCCCAAGATATTTTATATTATTTGAAGCTATTGTTGAGGGTGTTTTTCTTCTGATTTTTTTCCTCAGTCCATTTGCCACTTGGGTGTAGGAAGGCTAAGTGTTTATCAGCTGTAGGAGTTTCCTAGCAGAAATTTGAGGGTCACTTATGTATACTGTCATATCTTCTACAGATAAAATCCGTTGGCTTCTTCCCTTCCAGTTTGTATTCCCTTCATCTCCTTCAGTTGTCTTCATGCTCCAGTTAAGACATGAAGCACTATATTGAATAGGTATGGAGAGAGTGGGCAACCTTTTCTTCTTCCTGACTTTAGTGGAAATGTTTTGAATTTCTCACCATTTAAGTTGATGTTGGATTTGGACTTGCTGGGACCTGCTTTTATTATGTTTAGATACGTCCCTTGCATCCCTTCATGATAAAAGTTCTGGAAGTATTAGATCAAGGTATATCAGGGTGACAATAGCCACATAAAATAAATTGGACGATGTCTCTTTTGTTTCTATTTTTGAATAATTTGAGGAGTATTGGCATTAACTCTTCTTTGAAAGTTTGGCAGAGTTCTTTACTAAAACCATCAAACCTGGGTTTTTTTCTGGTTGGGAGGCTTTAATGACTACTTCTATTTCATTAAGTATTGTAGGTCTATTTAAATTGGTTATCTGATATTGATTTAATTTTGTTAAGTAGCATGTGTAGAGAGATTTAGGTTTTCCAGTTTGGAGGAGCACAGGTTTTTAAGGTATGTCCTTATGACTCTGGATTCCCTGGATGTCTGTTGTTTCTAATTTTGCTGCTCTATTTTCTCTCCACTTTTTAGCTAATTTGGCTAAGGATTTGTCAATCTTCTTGAGTTTTCTCAAAGAACCAACTCTTTGTTTTATTGATTATGTGCACTTTTTTTTTTTTGATTTTTCGAGACAGGGTTTCTCCGTAGCTTTTGGTTCCTGTCCTGGAACTAGCTCTTGTAGACCAGGCTGGCCTCGAACTCACAGGGATCCGCCTGCCTCTGCCTCCCGAGTGCTGGGATTAAAGGCGTGCGCCCCCACCACCCAGCTTTTTTATGTGCACTTTTTGTTTGTTTCTGTTTTATTGATTTCAGCTCTGAGTTTGATTATTTCTTGTCATTTATTCCTTTGGGTATTATTTCTTTTTGTTCTAGAGCTTTCAGCTGTGCTGCTAAGTTACTAGTATGAAAGCGTTTTTAAAATTTTTTAATTAGAGCCGGCGGTGGTGGCGCACGTCTTTAAATCCCAGCACTCGGGAGGCAGAGGCAGGCGGATCCCTGTGAGTTCGAGGCCAGCCTGGACTACAAGAGCTAGTTCCAGGACAGGAACTAAAAGCTACGGAGAAACCCTGTCACAAAAATCCAAAAAAAAAATTTAATTAAAAACTTTGTTTTTAATGTAGGCCTTTGGTGCTAGGAACTTGCCTCTTAGAACTGTCGTTACTTTGTCCCATAGGTTTGGGTATGATGTACATTAATTTTCATTTATTTCTACAAAGTCTTTCATTTCTTTATTAATTTCTTTTTTTCTTTTTTTATTGAGAAAAGGAGAAAAAAAAACAAGTTTCCACCTCCTCCCAGCCTCCCATTTCCCTCCCCCTCCTCCACCCTACGCCCCCTCCTCCCACCCTTCTCCCCCTCCCCCCACTCCTTTCCCCCTCCCTCTCCAGTCCAAAGAGCAGTCAGGGTTTTCTGCCCTGTGGTAAGACCTAGGACCTCCCACCTCCGTCCATATCTAGGAAGGTGAACATCCAAACTGACTGGGCTCCCAAAAAGCCATCACATTACGTAGGATCAAACCCCCGTGCCATTGTCCTTTGCGTCTCATCAGCCCTCATTGTTCGCCATGTTCAGAGAGTCCAGTTTTATCCCATGCTTTTTCAGTCACAGTCCAGCTGGTCTTGGTGAGCTCTCAATAGATCAGCTCCACTGTCTCAGTGGGTGGGTGCATCCCTCGTGGTCCCGACTTCTTTGCTCATGTTCTCCCTCCTTCTGCTCCTCATTGGGACTTTGGGAGCTCAGTCCAGTGCTCCAGTGTGGGTCTCTGTCTCTATCTCCATCCATCACCAGATGAAGGTTCTATGATGATATGCAAGATATTCGTCAGTATTGCTCTAGGATAGGGTCATTTCAGGTTCCCTATCCTCAACTGCCCAAGGAACTAACGGGGGACCTCAGCTTGGGCACCTGGGAGCCCCTCTAGGGTCAGGTCTCTTGCCAACCCTAAAGTGGTTCCCTTAACTAAGAATTGTGGTTCCGTGCTCCCCTGTCCAACCTTCCTTTATCCCAATCCTCCTGTTTTCCCAAGGCCCGACCTCCTTCCCTTCTAACTTTTCTCTCCCCATCTCCCCTTACCCCCAACCCACCCCACCCCAAGATCCCAATTTTCTCCCCGGCAATTTTGTCTACTACCCATTTTATATTTAATAGTGAGTTGTTCAGTTTCCACAATTTTGTTAACTTTCTGTTTTTTCTGTTGTTGACACCCAATTTTAATCTGTGTAGGTCAGATAGAATGCAGGGTTATTTCAATTTCCTTATATCTGCTGATGCTTCCTTTCTGTTCACATATGTGGTCAGTTTTGGAGAAAGTCCCATGGCATGCTGAAAAGGTATGTTCGTTTCTGTTTGGGTGAAATATTGTGTAAATATCTGCCGAGTCCATTTTGTTTATGACGTCAGTTATCTCCAACATTTCTCTGTTCAGTTCTTGTCTGGATGGCCTGTCTGTTGGCAAGAGGTGGGTACTGAAGCCACCACTATCACTGTGTGAGGGCCAATGTGTTGTTGAAGCTGTGACAGTGTTTATTTTACAAATTTTGTTCCCCCATGTGTTTGTGCATAGATATTAAGAATTGCAGTTTCCTCTTGGTGGATTTTTCCTTTGATGAGGATGTGTGTACCTTCCTATTTCTTCTTATTAGTTTTGATTTAAAGTTTATTTTGTCAGATATTAAAATGGTTACATGGACTTGCTTTTGGTTCCATTTGCTTGGAATATCTTTTTTCACCCTTTATCCTGAGCTGATGTCTAACCTGATGCCTTTTGGAAACAGTAGAAGGATGGATCCTGTTCACATCCATTCTGTTAGTCTATATTTTTTATTGGGAAATTGAGACTATTGATGTTGAGAGATACCAATAAGCAATGTTTGTTTGATTCCTGTTATTTTTGTTGTTTGGGGGTGGTGGTGGTGGTGTGTGTGTGTGCTTCCCTTCTTCTGATTTTCTGGTCTGGCATTATTTATTCCTTGTGATTTCTTGGGTGTGGTTAATCTCTTTAAGTTGGAGTTTTCTTTCTAGTGCCTTCTGTAGCTCTGGATCTGAGGATAGATACTGCTTGAATTTGGTTTTCTCGTGGAATGCCTTTCTTCATCCGTGGTGATTGAAAGACTGGGTATAGCAGTCTGGGTTGGCATCTATGATCTCTTACAGTCTGTAGAACTCTGTCCAGAACATGACTTTTAGAGTCTCCATTGAGAAGTCAGGTGTTATTCTAATAAGTCTCCTTAATCTTTTACTTGGTTATTCTTCCTTTCAGTTTCTAGTAGTCCTTTGTTCTGTATGTTTGGTGTTTTGATTATTATGTGCTGAGGGGACTTTCTTTTCTGGTCCAGTCTGTTAGGTGTTCCGTGTGTTTCTCGTAACTTGATAGGCATCTCCTTCTTTAGGCAAAGGAAATTTTCTTCTATGATTTTGTTGGAAATATTTTCTGTGCATTTGACCTGGGCTTCTTTTCCTTCCTCTATTTTTATTATTCTTAGATTTGATCTTTTCATAGTGTCCAAGACTTTCTGAATATTTTGTTCCAGAATACTTTTGGATTTACCATTTTCTTTGACAGCAGTACTCATTCCTTCTATCCTGTCCTCAATGGCTGAGATTCTTTTGTCATCTTTTGTACTCAGTTAGAGAGGCTTGCCTCTGAGACTCCTGTTTGAGTTCCTATATTTTTCACTTCCAAATTTCCCTCAGTTTGGATTTTCTTTATTGATTCCTTTTTACTTCCAGGTCTTGGACTCTTTTATTCATTTCCTTCCACTGTTTGTTTGTGCCTTCATAGATTTCTTTCTTTTTTTTAACTTTTATGACATCTTGACCTCAGTTTCCCTTCCCTCCACTCCTCCTACTCCCTTCCCCCTATCTCTCCTGTCCCCAAGATCCTGGCCTAACAGGATTCAATTAAAGGCTGGGCACAAACGCTCATATCACAGCTCGACACGGCAACCCATTGGGAGGCAAAGGGTCTTAAGCACAGGCAAGAGTCAGAGACATCTCTCGTGCCCATCATTGGGAGTCTCACAAGAACATCAAGCTACACAATCGTATTTGTTTGTTGCTTCAGTTTCTGTGAGCCTTTATAGGCCCTGTGAAGCTGATTCTATGGTCTCTGTTCTCATGGTTCCTTGACAACCCCTCCCCCAGCTCCTGTAATCCTTCCTCCCCCTCTTCTGCAGGGTTCCCTGGCTCTGCTCAGTGTTTGGCTGTGGATCTCTGCATCTGCTCCTATTGGTTGTTGGATGACACCCCTCTGGTGACAATTGGGCTAGCTAGGCACTGATTTTCATAGTTTTATTTCTAGGAGATTTATTCATTTCCTCTTAAAGGACCTCTATCATATTCATAAAGGCTATTGTAAAGTCTTTGTCTTGTGTTTCAGCTAAGCGTCAGTTCTCACGGCTTACTGTGGTAAGTTTGTTGGACTCTAGTAAAGACATATTATCCTGGATGTTGTTGATTGTGTTTTTATGCTGGGATCTAGGCATCTGGGTATGGGAAGACTGAAATTCTTGATGCTGATATCTGGTCTTGTTTTTGTTCGTGAGTATTTTGTTCCTTGTCTTCTGTTTCCTCTCTGGTTCTTAGGAGAGTGTGGTGGCTGCGTGTTGCCTGATGGGAAATTCTTTTGGGATTCTGAAAGGTGTGACCCCTGGAGTTTCCACTTAAGATTTGATTCTTGGTGTTGGTGGCTGATACTTAGGAATAAGGGTGAGCTAAGTGAGAGGCCTGAGGTGGTCCACAGGCTGGAGAGAAGCAAGTCTTCCTCCAGGATCTCCTTAGTCCCTTAGAGTGGGGACCAATCACAAAAGGTCATCTGCTACAGAGCTGGGGATGGGGTGTGGGACTGGTTGTGGAAGAGAGGAGGGAGAGGGAAGAGCTAAAGCTCACGTGCCTGCTTTGCTGATAGGCTCTTTGCTTCTCTGCCAGGCTTGGCTGGTGGGTTTTCGGGGGATGCCTGAGGGGAGGGTTATAATGGAAGATCTGTGAGACCCACTGGGGATGGGGGCTGCGGGGGAGGGAGGCTGCATCAGGTGGCCTGCTACAGAGCTGGGAATAAGACTTGAGGATTGGATTTGGAAGAGAGGGGCAACAGGTGAAGATCTGCAGTTAGCCTAGCTGCTTCCCTAGCCAGAGTCTTTAACAATTTCTATGACATTAATTGCCCTGCTCAGCAATAAAGAAAGAGAGCCAACTTTAGTCTCCCCTGGGACAAGCTTTCTGACTTGGAACTGCTTAAGTAGTTTAATGCTCAGGGTGTGTGCTAAAACTTAGAATGCTTAGCCCAGATAGCAAGGTATAAAATGGAATTCCCACTTGCTATAATTCTCCTGATTTGGAATTTCTGTAGGATATATAAAACATCTTCCTACTTTGAAAGTGGTGTTTTGGGTATTAATTAACTCTTGTATCATTTATTCATCTAAACACTGAAAGACAGGCTTTTGAAAGCTGAGTAACACTGAGTTTGGAATGCACACTCAAAGAACACGATGATCACCTGCCTACTCCTGTGCTATGTTCTTCCAAGTTGTACCCACAAGCTGAGAAGAGAGTGCACTGTCTCTCTTCTGCTTCAGTGGACAGTGTGGAGAGGCTAGAGCAACACGAGTGGGGGGAGGCTAGAGGATCACAGGTGGGGTGGGAGGAGCCAGAGGAGCAAGTGGGAGGGGCTAGAGGAGCAAGTGGTGGGGCTAGAGGAGCAAGTAGGAGGGGCTAAAGGAGCAGGCAGGAGGGACTAGAGGATCGTGGGTAGGAGGGCCTAGAGGAGCACGAGTAGGAGAGGGCTAGAGTAGCATGGGTGGGAGGGGCTAAAGGAGCAAGTGGGAGGGGCATGTGTGTGTCACAGAGTCTGTTGTACCTCACAGCCTCACACACCTGAACCCTCACACTTCCTAACCACAGAAAAAAGACCCCCACATTGCAACTTCCGAGCTTGTCCATCTTCTCTTACTCATAGAGATTGTTTTATTCATTCCCTCATAGAGCTCTTTCACAAGATGATCAAGATGACATCCACCTAAAATTAGAGGATATAATTCAAATGGTAAGTTCAGCCACAGAATCCTTGAGGTGAGCAAACTCATGCGACCAGCTTCATGGTTGGCCATGTATCTGTCTGGGAAGCTGTACGAGAAGGGCCTCGCTCAACACAGGATCCGGCAGCTGGTTGGGGACGTACATATTGGCTTTCACAGTTGAGTCTGCTGGATTTTCTTTCAGACCTAGACTCTAGTAGAGGCCTTCACACTCCGCAGATGCACTGTGTTTCACTCCTTCACCATCTCTTGCAGACAGACTGTCCAAAGGCCGAATGCTTTGAGACGTTGTCAGCCATGGAGCTGGCCGAGCAGATCACTCTCCTGGACCACGTTGTCTTTAGAAGCATCCCCTACGAGTGAGTGCCTTGTCCTCTAGCAAGAAGTACCTAGTCTTGAAGCTGCCATTATCTCTAAGTTACACAGGTGTGTGCGTGTACTTGCCCAGGCTCAGGGATGTTGAGTCTCCATCTCCAGGTGCTTTAGCATGCTTGAAGGTCTCTTGGGCCCAGTTCATGTTGAGTGCATTGACTTGGAGGTCCTTGAGATGATCTCGGTTTGTGTTTCTTCTATATGTAATAAGGTTACCATGACTGTTTTCTCTGCATTTTCCTATCCTCAAATTACAGAATATCTAAAGCCATACGGGAAGCTTGTAGAAAATGTATTCTCAGAGAGAGCATGCTTGTGAAATTCCGATTTTGGTAGGTTTGATTGAGGTCCAGAAAATTGTCTTTTCATGAGAATCCCAAGTAGTTCAGAGGGACCCGAAGCTTCACTCTGAGAAGCGGGGACCCATCGTCAATGCTTTAATGTCTGCTGCAGGTCTGCAGCCCCTTCCGCAAGTTCGCGCATTCTACTGAGCTCAGTGACAGTTGTCCTGCCTGCTGTCCTGCCTCTTCGTTTTAACCCTGTGTACAAAGGAGGGGGCCCTTTAAGCCTCCAGCAATCACACTCACTTGAAAGATCCTTAAACAGATCTTTGTTTAGAGAAATACATTATCCATGAACTGGTAACCACACTGAAAGTGTGGAAGGATTGGGCAAGACACAGGAATGGGATCCTTGTCAAACATAGCGCATCCCTGGTGAGGGAGGAGAGAGTCGAAGCAGATGGGCGAGACAGTTAGACCTGTGGAGCTGTCAGAGAAGCAGGAGGGGAAGAGCCCAAGAACACCCACGCAGACTGTGCTTTTATGCATTCCATCTTCTCTTCTTCCTGGCCTCCCTGAATTTGTAGACCTGCCCAGGCACATGGAGCTGTTGAAATAGGAATCTGGCTCATTGGCTATTCAAATGAATCCAGTGACATCCTGAACACTTAGGATAGGAAACACAATTTTCCTTCCCCCACCGCCCCGTCACCTTCTCACTGCCACCCAGAGCATTGAAGGTGGACCCTGGCCTTCTCTACTAGAGAAGAAAGAGCCAGAAAGAATCCTATGGTGGGGTGGCTCTTGCGATGGAATCTTCCCGGGACTCCCATTTCTCCCTGGACCCTGCATGCTTAAAACATCTGTCAGTCATTTCCATCGTCAATGCTTTAATGTCTGCTGCAGGTCTGCAGCAGAGCTGTGTCCTCACTTCTGTGTCTACCTGCAGAACAATAGCCACGAGCAGCAACAGCAACAGTGACAAGCAAGGGACAATAAATCTTGCAGGAGGACCCAGCCAACACTTCCGCACTAGAAATGTATTGGAATGGTTTCATTTCACACTGTTTTCTAAATGCCCTCACGCAATAATTCCCACGCACCCTCTCTCAACTGCCACATGCATACTGAGATCTAGTGACCTGCTCCTGAATGAAATGATTGATCAGGGAAGACATCAGAGGACTCTCCTTCCACCAGGCTCAGCTCCCCAACCTTGAAAACTTCCGTTCTCCCGAGAAAACAAGAGCAGAGAAGGATTCCATTCTAATGAGCAGTTTTTGGTCAAAATAGATCTTCTGGAATCTTGAAAGATACATTTAGAGAGTAACGCAGAGGAAATCACCACAAGAATGCTGAGTTGGTGGTTACTTCATCTCTCTTATGTTGGCAGCGTTTTGAATTTCAGAGAAGCCTTTTATTGAGATAACAATCCAAACACTAGAGACTGAAAAATCATTTTCATTTTGGCAGTAAGTGATGGAATGCTAGCCCAGGAATGAGCTGCAATTCCGTAGAGATGACCTGTGAAAACAGGAGGAAGGAGGGGTCAATAATGACCCCTGAATATTAAGTTAAATGTACCCGTCTAATCCACATAACTACGCAAGGTCTATTCGCCTTCTCTTACAAACGGCACTGATTTTGTGTTTTATTCTCAACTTTCAGAGAGTTTCTTGGGCAGGGCTGGATGAAACTGGATAAAAATGAAAGGACCCCTTACATCATGAAAACCAGCCAGCACTTCAATGAAGTGAGTAACGGATACACCTGTGGGCATTAGGCTTCTCTAGAACAAAGCAGCTGTGGACGGCGGATATAGATCAGTGGAGGGGCACTTGTCTACACATGCACGGAACCCTGGGTTTGATCCCCAGAAAAGAAATACACTCTGTCATCACTATTTATACAGGGCTGATTGAATAGCAAGCTTAAATCTCACATTCTCAAAAGGATGTGATAATTTCCAGACATAAGAGGTCTCATTTTGGTGGTTCCCAGGTCTTGTGAGTATTCAATCATGTGTAAAATGTTGTTATTATTTTTATTATAATCACTATAAGCTTAGTCACAGACTGAATGAGTAGTGTGTATACTGACCCCTGGTGGTGGCAATAAGATTGCATCAGTGTGACTTCCTAAATTCCAGACTGACCTTGGGAGGGACTTCTTACACTACTTCACTGAGGCAGTGGTAACCACTGCCAGGCTCCAGCAGTAAGATGAGGAGTTGATTTTATATCCAGTTGTTTGTTGGTTCTGTTGGAACAGACTTAGTCTTGTGAGAGAATTAGTTAACAGCCGTGGAGGTGGCTTCAGGGCTGTCTGGGCAAAGGGAAACTTCTTTTCCAGTTTCAGTACAGATTAATACTAGGAATAGTGAGGGTGTGCATATTAGCAAAGGAATTGCACTGACAAGTTAGCAGGTCAACTGAATCCAAGGTACCAAAACAGTAGTATAGAGTCTCAAGAGAGAGCCCTGCACAGGGTCCACTCAAAATACACGGATGCTAAGTGAAGGGGTAATGTGAGGAACATACTCCATTACCTGCCCTACATATGGGCACTCCAACTGAAGACTCCACCCTAGGCTCCACACGTCTCCCACACTAGGATAGCCTTGTGCTCTAACAACCCCGCAGCAATGCTGAGCCTCCTTCGGGAGCTTCTAATGCGGGTAGTAGCATCACCATGCCTTTGGCCAGACAGGACTCTACAAGCCACCCGTGCTTCCTTCCTGTCCCCTACTCAGCATTTTCTGTCTCAGCAAACGAGCACAGGTATGAAATTTGAATTCATGGCAGAGCAGAGGACCTGATGGCCTGATGAGGAGACAAGGATGACTGTCAATGGAAGTTTCTGATCTGTCTGGTCCCACAGCCATTCAGTCCCAAAGAAACACACAGGGGCTTATATTAATTATAAACTGGTGGCCTATTAGCTCAGGCTTATTATTTACTAGCTCTTACAACTTAAATTAACTCATAATTCTTTTCTATGTTTACCCACCTGCCTTGGTACCTTTTCTCAGTACATTTTCATCTTGCTCCCTCTGCATCTGGGTTGCAACTGCAGACTGAGCTTCTCCTCTTCCCAGAATTCTCCTAGTCTGGTCGCCCTGCCTATACTTCCTGCCTGGTTACTGGTCAATCAGCATTTTATTAAACCAATACAAGTGACAAATCTTTACAGGGTACAAGAGCATTATTCCAGAGATGACAGGTCTTCAGGGTCCTCGCATGCTCAGTTGAACAGATGAACAGCTAGCTGTTCTGGATCCTAAAGATGAAGGGAAACCCCAGATGATTTTTGTCAGGGAGTGCCGTAATTAGATTGACACTTCATGCAGCATGGGGTCAAAGCGGTGAGATGACTAGACTGGCTGGCCAGTGAGCTCCTGAGTCTGCCTGGCCCCTTCCTTCAGCACTGGAGTTACAGATGCATCCTTCCATGCCCTGTTGAGTGCTGAGGATGCAAATTCAGGACCCCATTACTTGCACAGCCAGTGCATTATCCACTGGGCCGCATCCCAAGCCTCAGAGCAAACATAGTTTTGCATTTCATGTATGCTGTTTTCTTATTTACATATTTCCTTCTGCCCATCATCCCTCCTAGCTAGGTTCAGCATACCCGAAGGCCAGTCAGCTCTTCGTTACTCTAACAAAACGCGTAAGATGATTAACTTATAAAGGGAAAAGGTTTACTCACAGAGAAAACTGCTCTGGTCACAGACAGGAAGCAAGAGTGGAAGAGGAAGGGGCATAGTGGCCATAATCCCCTTCAAGACACGCCTCTTTGGCCTAAAGACTTACACAGCTCCTTCCAATAGTGCCACTCCAGGGACCAGGCCATTGACTCATAGTCTATGGGAAATATTCAACACCCAAACTGTACCAGTGATAGTCATGGATTTCATTCTTCTTCTGTTCTTAGCACCAAAGACAAGTGTGTCCTAGCCCACTTCCTGAATAATTATTGGAGATGACGTCCTTATGAAAATTATTGATTAACAAAATCAACTGCTCCTCACAAACTGGATTCTGTATCATTCTCCACATCAAAGTTGAGCAAGTGATTGACCCTCGTACATGTTTTAATGACTTTCTATGTGTCACTCAAAGATACTGTAGGAGCTTCTGTGTCTTCAAAGAGTGGGGTACCCATCAGACTTACTGTGTGAATGCAAGATCACACACTCCCTGTGCCCCTTTGCTGATGATCATATCCCACTCTTTTCCATATTTTGAAAACTGAGCGAATTCAGTTGGATTTGGTTAGTAGAATTACAGCCCTTAGCTTCAAAGTTTATTTGTTCATTTTGTTTGTTTTGCTAGAGAAATTTTCCAAAAAGAAGGTATGCTTTCTTTTTCTATGCTAAGTGATTTTCTGGTTTGAGAGATGACTAATTTAGAATTAATTTAGATTGATGACTGGCTGGAGAGATGGCTCAGCCATTAAAGGCTAGGCTCACAACCAAAAGTATTAGAATTCAGATAAATAGTAACCCACAGTCTTTCGTTCTCTATGAAAACTGACGTTTTCCAGAGTATGCTATCTACACACAGTTGGAAGTACAGAAATATATGTCCCCAAGGTCCCCAAGGGGTGACACCCAGGTCTGCAATATGATCTTTCCGAGTAGTTAGGTCATTCCATTTCATTCCCTTTCTTGGCAAGGATTCCTTCATCAAGACTACCGGTTTAAAAAGATGCAATTTTCCCCCAACAAGCCGGATTCTGAAGAGTCTCTGCCTGTGCTCTCAGGATGAACAGGGGTGGGTGGTTTGTTGCTATTGTTATCGTTACAGATTCCAGTCTCTTTGAAAGGTGGTGTCTAAAGATGGACCGAGAGCTTTGTGCTACTTAGTAACCCACTTTCCTTATGTGCTCATGGGCCACTCAGCTCTTTGCCTGGATGCATTGTTTTGGGTCTTCGACAGCTTGCTGGTCTCTTTGGTTGTCTTAGATGAGTAACCTGGTAGCCTCCCAGATAATGAATTACGCCGATATCAGCTCACGCGCCAACGCCATTGAGAAGTGGGTTGCTGTGGCCGACATTTGCCGGTGTCTACACAACTACAATGGTGTCCTGGAGATCACTGCAGCCTTAAACAGAAGTGCCATCTACAGGCTGAAGAAAACCTGGGCCAAGGTGTCCAAGCAGGTGAGCATCAGCGTGCAGCACACCTTGCTACTGAGGGGAGTGGAGAGCCGAGATGAATCCTGCTAATGAGAAAGTCATTAATTGAAACGAGCAATATAGTTGCCAAAGGAAGGCACCAATGGATAATTGCCCTGCTCTGACTACCTAATTAATTCCCCTCCTGTGTGTCTTCAAAACACTCATTACAACATCTGGAGGAACAACCTCAAACAATGTGGCTGTCAGTCATGACCTGTTTCCCGAAATCCTCCTGGAGGGGAGGTAAGCCCACAACTGCCCAATGGATTTCTCCCCATCTCCCCTCCTCCAAAGCCTTTGTCCCCAGAGATCTCGATATACAACGTTTCCTCTGTCCTTCTGGGAGCAGCTTTTGGGGTTTTGCCTAGTGACTTAGACCCGCGGACACGTGACTGTTGCTTTTCTTCTTTTAGATTTAGCTCTCCTCTGTTATTTCCACTCAGGTTTCAGTAGTTAAATCTCTGTCCTTCTAGCTTTCTCCTTGGGTGTTGGTGAGTTTGGGAGAGGCTTTCTAAAAGGATGTCTGGAAGACTTTCTCTGGACTCCTAGAAGGCTGTCTGCACCTTCACTGGGAGTTGGGCTAGCCTTGTCTTGTCCATGCCATTGGCTCTGCTAATGTTCTGAGCCTAGGGTGTGTCTCACCTGTACCACAGACTGTTCTGACCTTGGTGACCCTGCAGGGCACCTGAACTGTTAATGAGGACTTCTTTGGATTTTGGATTAGTACCTTGGTGCTCACAAAGGGTCTTGGCGGAATCTCCCCGGCTCCTGCACAGTTTTAGTGCCTGTTGGGAGGAGATCTGTGCCGTGCACTCTTAGCCTAACCTTTTGCTGAATTTGCTATGCACCTTGTAAGTTCCTAAGACTTCTCTGCATTACACTTTAACTTTTCTTTTCTTTTCTTTTCTTTCCTTTTCTTTTCACTTTTTCTCACCCCAGGGCCAAAGCCTGGATATAGGCACTTCTCGCTTTTCATGTTCCTTCCCTTCTTCTTTTAAAACATTAAAATGGCATCAGCACCTGCCACTGAAGGAAAACCCCGAGTGCCCTGATGATATTCTCTCTAATCAAATTAAAGTGTTTTCTTGACAAACTACGTTGTCTTTCCTCTTTAGACAAAAGCGCTGATGGAAAAACTTCAGAAGACTGTTTCATCCGAAGGAAGATTTAAAAACCTCAGAGAAACTCTTAAAAAGTATGTCTTTCTTAATCATTAAATCATTCACAGTTCAAGAATATATTCAAATAATTTACATGGCATGCAAATAGTGATCTACCCATTCATTGCTAGAGAAGAAGAAATAGGAAGGAGCTCCTATTGTTGCAGTGTTTGGAGATTTTACTTTTCACTTGGAATTCTGTGAATATAGAATTGGTACTTATGGAAGTACCAATGGTGTGTAAAGATACTGTGCATACAGTGAGCATCTTATAGAAGTGCCATGGTGTGTAAGGATTCTGTGTATACCGTGAGCATCTTATGGAAGTGCCATGGTGTGTAAGGATACTGTGCATACAGTGAGCATCTTATAGAAGTGCCATGGTGTGTAAGGATTCTGTGTATATAGTGAGCATCTTATGGAAGTGCCATGGTGTGTAAGGATTCTGTGTATATAGTGAGCATCTTATAGAAGTGCCATGGTGTGTAAGGATTCTGTGTATATAGTGAGCATCTTATAGAAGTGCCATGGTGTGTAAGGATTCTGTGTATACCGTGAGCATCTTATGGAAGTGCCATGGTGTATAAAGATACTGTGTATACCATGAGCATCTCATGGAAGTGCCATGGTGTGTAAAGATACTGTGCATACAGTGAGCATCTTATAGAAGTGCCATGGTGTGTAAGGATTCTGTGTATATAGTGAGCATCTTATAGAAGTGCCATTGTGTGTAAGGATACTGTGTATACCGTGAGCATCTTATGGAAGTGCCATGGTGTATAAAGATACTGTGTATACCATGAGCATCTCATGGAAGTGCCATGGTGTGTAAAGATACTGTGCATACAGTGAGCATCTTATAGAAGTGCCATGGTGTGTAAGGATTCTGTGTATATAGTGAGCATCTTATAGAAGTGCCATTGTGTGTAAGGATACTGTGTATACCGTGAGCATCTTATGGAAGTGCCATGGTGTGTAAAGATACTGTGTATACCGTGAGCATCTTATGGAAGTGCCATGGTGTCTAAGGATACTGTGCATACAGTGAGCATCTTATGGAAGTGCCATGGTGTGTACGAATGCTGTATGCATAGTGAACATCTTATGGATACTGTGCGTATAGTAAGTATATTAGAGATACATGAAGTATATCCCAAATAGGAAAATATCGCCATAGGTCAATTCTCTCTTAGTATAAACTTGTTAATTTAGTACTTCTTAATCTAAACACAATAATCTACTGTGACTTTTTATGTCAATATTACAGAAGCAGTTGGTTGCTGTTATTACTGCATTTGCTTTTGATCTTTTATACCTATATCATTCCTTCTATACATGCACACTCTCACACACACACTTGCAAACATACACATGGTGAGGGGGAAGAATAAAAATTCTATTTGCTTGCAGCTGGTTTTCTTGTGGTTTAACACATGAACGTGGCTTAATCTGAGAGAACATCTGTCTTGTGTCACACTGGTAAAAGATGAGTGATAGTTGTCTACACCTTGCTATTACATCAGTAAAAGCAATAACAGCATAGCAAGTGCTTGCTAACTATTTACACACCGTGTGTTAGGTGCTTTACATGTCTTCCTTACGCCGTAAGCTTCAGAGATTAGCGTTTCTATCTCCACTGCAGGTGAGGGAAGTGTAGACAGGGAGCACCCTGCTCAGCACCACCGAGCGACTGGTCAAGCTGGGATTCAAACTCTGTTCCCTCTACACCAGAAGCCACATCCTTAGCTTCAGGCCTCACCAGGAAGACCAATTAGACCAGGTTGTCTGAGCAAGTGTCTCATGTAGTTGTACTTTCTTGTTGGGACCGCCAGCCTACAAATGATGACGTGGAAAATTAATATGAATTATGAAAGCTTGGAGTTTAGTTTAGGTTTATCCCCAGCTAGCTCTTATAACTCAATTAACCCATAATTTTAACCTACATCCCACCACGTGGTTCAGTTACCTCTCCTCAGTGTGTCACGTCCCACTTCCTCCGAGTCTGCTGTGAAAATCCAAACACTTATACGACTCCTCCTCTTCCACTCTCCACCTGGAAATCCCACCATTCCTCTCCTGCCATTAAGCTCTCAATGACTCAATTACTGCGTCTTCACACAGTGTCTGAATATCTTACAGCAGTCTCCTTTCGTGGCTTCAGTGTGTAGCTGTGATGATTGGTAAATGCACGTCTTCTAAAGCATTTCCAAATCAGCTCAACAGAAACTGTGTTTCCTGTGGTGCAAGTTCTAACTGTGTGTGTGCAGGAATAAGAACCACTCTTTCTGGCCTTGCAGCTGTAACCCCCCTGCTGTCCCTTACCTTGGGATGTACTTGACAGACCTGGCCTTCATTGAAGAAGGAACACCAAACTTTACGGAAGAAGGCCTTGTCAATTTCTCCAAAATGCGAATGGTAGGTGGCCATTTTTGTGATTGGCCTGTGTCAGTGACGTCATGGCTTAGTAAGAAGAGGCTAAAAAATGAGGGTGGTGTTAGCCCCTAAATCTTGAGGTGGAAAAAGAGGGTGAAGACTCAGGTTGTCGGCCAGCTGAAGAGAGTTTTGGCAGTAACTCCTTGAAGTCTGGGTCCAGGCTGTGGGAATAAAGCTCCAAAGATGGTTTTCTAAGACGGCCCGGTAGGTAGATGCATGAATCTCCTTGCTAGACAGCCATATTCTGAACACCAAGTTAGAGGATAGAAACCACAGGAGCAGCACCCAGAACTTCTCCCTGCCCACACCCTGAGGCCACCCAGCATCAGCAATAACCCAGTGATTATGAGTTCAGGACCTTCTTGTTGGCTTTACCTTTGGCTTCTGGAAGGTATAAAAAGCAATCAGACAGGACTCCTCCTACCCCATGGAGGAAAGGACTTAGGGATGTCACCCTGGGAGGATGCACTGTGATGCAGAGGGATGCTTCTGAAATGCTTTCTTTTTCCCTGTTAGATATCACACATTATTCGAGAGATACGCCAGTTCCAGCAGACTGCTTACCGCATAGACCAGCAGCCAAAGGTAACACTGTGGGCTAGTGAGAGCCACACAGATGGATGTAGAAGTTGGCTGGATATATAAAACCACCACAGGAACATCAAAGTCTGACTTAGGATAAGGACCTAACTTAGAAGTGGTCAGCAAATCCAACTGGGAACAGGGATGCAGAGGAGATGGATTTGTCTGGTTTCATTCATTGTTGAGCATCTGCTTCTTGGGATCCAGACCTCTTCCTTCTGTTCCCAGTACTTTCATTCAGTTCCAACTTCCCTAGACTACAGGTCCATTCTACAACTAGACAAAGTTTGCTTTAAAAAAATAGCTTGCTTTAGTTTCTTCCTCGAGTTCCTACCTTAGCTGCTTCCAATGATGAACTATAAAATGATGGACTATATAGAGGAAGATGAAATAAACCCTCTCTTCCCAAAGCTGCTCCCGGTCATGGTGTTTATGATAGCAACAGAAATAAACCTAGAACGGTGAGAAATACTCTCGTGTGAGTTATCAACATTACTTCAATAAGAGGGAAATACTTTCCAGGAAATACCTCATGCCCTTACACCTTCATTTCCTTTCCTTCTTCCTTGGATCTGTCCAGTAGAACATGTACGCAAAAGCACCAGGGAGCAAGCTGACAAGGACTGCACCCTGACCATGGTTGTAAAACACTTACTGCAGCCCTATACGAATCAGTGTACAATCATTAAAGCCACTCATAGGCTACAGCCTGAAGACTATAAACAGTGAAACTTCATGTGCCTGTGTTGCAAAGAGGAAAGTAAACTTTGATGGATGCTATGATTCTGTTTATCACTATAAGGTTAAACCTAATACTGTAAGTATGTGTAATGCATCTTAAATGCACAGTGAGGTCACATATCCCAAATGACAACAGCCCTCAAGAGTGCTAACTAGGCTTAGAGGTTGGGAGAGGACTTTACAATTTACAATATATTCAGTAGTTTTTGTTTTAGAAAAATTCCAGATGTCTCAGGGAAAATGTTGGGTTGTGTCAGATTCATTCAGAAAATGTACAATTGATCTTCTGAGAGAATTGATCAGCTGGTCTCTCTCTCTCTCTCTCTCTCTCTCTCTCTCTCTCTCTCCCTCTCCCACTCCCCCCCCCCCAGGTCATACAGTACCTGCTTGACAAAGCCCTCATCATAGATGAAGATACACTCTATGAGCTGTCGCTCAAAATTGAACCTCGACTCCCTGCTTGAAGATCTTACCTTGTCCCTGAGAACATGGGAATTTCGTGAAGAGTGTGTCACACATGGCACGGCGGGGACCCAGAGGGACAGCGCCTGCCTTGGTTCACCACTAAAGATGGAACCAGACTGCAATTCTGTCTCCAGCCAGAGTAAAGCCCAGAGGCATGGGTTAAAGACAGATGCTCCAGCCTTGGGTGGGACGGTGCAGAGTTGAGTGATGCTGACCACACAATTTGCGTCAGGGCCGTGAAGTAGGAGATGCTGGTCCATTAGAGCAAAATATCATGAAGGTAGATGTCCCATGTCCCATGTTCTGTTAGAACTTGCGGACAAGGCCCCACAGAGGAAGCCTGTAAAGTTTCCTTGACATTCCGCTAGCCTGGGCACACCTCTAACCAATCTTCTACGACTTGACGGCTTCTCTTACACTTCCTTTATGCCAAGGGTCACAGCCAGGCCGAAGCTTCCTCTGCAGGCCCCACACATAAGCAGCTTCAGTATGCAGCATGTGCATGGTTCTCGGTGCATTCGACATGCATGAGAGGAGTGGCGTGCTCTGAAAAAGCCTTGCAGCCTCTAGGCCATGGGACAGGAAATAAAAGATTCAAAAACAAGTGGGTTTGTTGGTAGCATTTCCTTAATTACAAGTAAGCAGTGTCCCACCAGCTTGAGCGTTGCCTTCATGGAGAGATTGGTGGTTCCAAGGAGCTGCCCTCTTGGAGAGACAGCTGTGGAGGCCGCAGTAAGGTACATGCCCCTGTCAGTTAGCCGGCAAAACTGTGGGACATGGGAAGGCCACCACGGGCTATGGAGAGGAATGACTTTCACGAAGCAAAAATGGAGGGCTAAAAGTCATCTTTGCACCTGATTTCACTTGGTTTCTTTTCCCCTAAATATTCTAGAAACTTCTTCTGATGTATACATGCTTAGTTGGGTTCATTGTGAGCACTGGCTGGACTGTGAAATAGTCTGTGGGCTTCTTCTTTTGAGAAGCCCCGCTTCCGTGTGCTATTGGTAAACAGTCTTCTCCAAGCCTTTGTTTAAAACAAGGTCATCTGACCAAGGCTATTCTAAGTGCGTAGGGAAGGGCACTAACTATCCCCACGGCTCTTAGAGTAGAAAGCCAAGTGCAAGGGTTTGTCCTGCACCCTCAGCCTGGGGAAGCCACCTCATGCTCCGCACAAGGGTCAGTTGTTCAGGGAATAGGGCTCTCCTAATTACCCCCCTCTGGTGTTCTCAGGGAGATCACTGCTTTACAAGGTGGAAGAGGTGACAATGAAGGATTATTGTGATCTTAGCCTAGCCTGCCTAGCATTTTCTCTTAGAGGCAGGATGCTTATTGATGCTGACCATGAAGACTGATCTGCAACCTCCCCTCTTCCTTTGCATTTTCATCGTGATAGAGCAGACAGCTAGCTAATACATTCCCTCTCTGTTTCCGAAAGCCCAGCGGAAGAGCTAGCATTGGGAATGTACCGTAGAACTAGAGAAGGTGCATTTTCTGGTAAGGGTCATCTCTGTACATAACTGCCTGGAAAAATATAAGCTGAATTAAAAATTTATATTATATGAATCCCACTCCAGAAATCTCCCTGGTTCATTTTAGCCAACAGTGCAGTACTAAGTCCCCCCCCACCCGGGCCAAGCTCCGCCCCCCCCCCCCCCCCCCGGCCCGCTTAGGGATGCTTTCTCCTCTTTATTTATCATTTCCTGAGTTGCTTGTTTGTTCTTTTCAGTTCAAATAATAGTACGCATGAGGAGAGCATGTGCTGTTGGATCCTAATCGTGCATAACTTGTGATTTATTTCTCGGTGTTCAGAAGCTAACCTTTGAAATAATTTGTCATTTAACACCACGCACCGCACAAACTTACAGAGAAAAAGTAAAGGCTAGCAATCCTGAGAGGATCACAGCTACTAGTTTCATGCAAATCACCACTAGGGAAGGAGTACCTGCACCACCTTCAGCCCCGCCCCATCTCCACACCACACTGCCCTTCAGTGGAGGGCGCTACGTGCATTTTCCTTGGGAGTTTGGGCTCGTTTCTCCAATGTTATATTCCAGAGGCCACTTCAGCCATTCTTACTGGGGGGAAAAAAAGGAATTTCTAATGCTCCTCGTCTGTTGAAAAGCAGCTTTTCCACAGCTAGTGATGAGCTTTGGTGCCTGTTTCCAGGAGACAGTCAGAAGCGCCCCCAGTGGTCATTTGTGGGCATTGCCGTTTCTTTGCTCACTGGCTTGCTAAAGCTAAAGAGACCATGGTCAGTCAAGGGAGGGACGCACATTTAAAAACAAAACACCTCAACTTGATTATGTTTAAAATTAACCAGAGCAATCTGTGGTTCCTCCTTTGATTGTTGAAGCCCCGGTCTTTTGAAGCTCTGTATGTATTTGTGGGGTACAACAAGGCACGCCCATCTGTGTGTGCCAATACCTGACTTTATGAGACGCATTTCTAAGAGCACTTGGGAGGCCAGCTTCAAAACGTCAAGTAGTGAACATGTGCCCTGCAAAATCTACAGAAAATCAGCCCAATTTCATGTTTTCAAATGAGCACAACATTTGTCCTGCGGGTGAGATTGCCCTGAGGACGTCGGGGATGCCTAAGACATCCACTCTTACAACAGAAGCAAATCTCTCACCGAAGCCAGTATATGTGACAGTTCCAGGCATGAAGTAAAAGGCTTTCTTCTGCGATCCCCCGGGGGAATTTAAAGAGAGAATTTTAAAGTAGCGACATTTTAGAGCATTTCTAACAGCACAACTCCTTTGCTGCCTGCTTATCAGTGCATCTCAAAGTACTACATTTAAACCAATTAAACACATGTAAACCATTTAATGTGACAATGGGCCTTCCCCTCTTCTCTCGTGTTATGAGAGACAAGACCGTAGACCACCAGTGATTGCCACTCACCTAAAGAGGAAGGCAATGATGTGGCCACTTCTAAAACTACCAACTTTCAGGTTTTGAAAAGGGATTTTACTTAGTTTTTCTTTTCAAGTCAATATTTAATGTTATTCCCCCATGAAAAGATCTCTTGTTTTAAACGTGTTCCTTTTAAATCCAACTTGTAAAATTTATCATTTTTGCTACGGTTGAGATGGCATAAGAGATAATATGCTATTTTTAGCCAGGTTAAATGTCCACAGCTGGAGAAAATCAATGAATGGAACTCATTTCCACTTTTGTAGGAAATTGTAAGTTTAGTGACTTGTTTAAAGGTGTCACTGTGTGATTCCTGGAAACGAGACTGCAGTTGGTGGGAAATAAACGGCTTCCTTTCAAAGGCCACTATTAGCTTAACAAAGGGCAGAGGCGAAGCCCAGAGGGACCTGTAGTTGTAGGGGCAGACAAGAGTGTCTGCTAGCCAAGCTTCCAGTTCAGCTGGCGTTAAGGTTGGGGTTGACTGTTTTTGATTGGATCTGCTGGAGGAGAACAATCACCCTTCTTCACAGTGTTGAACCACTGTCTTTACACAATCCAGTCCAGTTTTCACCAGGAAACTGGTCATGAAAGAACACTGGACCAGACCTGAGTCTCAGCCCAGCTCTGCATCGTCCAGCCAGAGAAACTTAGGCCAGTGTTTACACCCTGAGTCTCAGTTTCTTCATCTACAAAATGGGATTAGTCATAATTCCAGTGCTGTCTACCTCACTGGGCTGTGAGGACCAAAGGGGTCAGAATGTAAACTTTAAAGTGCTGTACAATTGTGAGGTAACTGATTACCATTCTTTGCTCTCTTTTGCAGAAGAATTAAATGTACTTATTATTTGTATGTATGTGTGTGTTTGTGTGTACAAACATGTGTGTCAGAGCAACATATGTGTCTGGTTACTTTGCACACCTGCTGTCATTTGATGAGGGCTTTGCCTTGTGGCCTAGCACTTGCCAAGTGAGGCATAGGTTATGCCAATACGCAAATTAAACTCCGCCTTTCTTCAGCACTCAAAAGTCTCACGATTTCTTCATTCATCTCCTTTTCCATTTTGCCACTGCCCTTCATGTCAACTGGTTCCTTTATATATTCTCTTACTTCTACAGTTCAGGTACAAAGAACACCCAGGAGAATTTATTTTGCAGGCTAAATTAAGAAGCAGAGAACTGTGATGGGGGGTCACCCCACTCTGCTTCTAGTTCTTACGTCTGTTCCAGTGACATCCGCAGCCCGTGGCTGGCTGCTTCCAGGCACGGAGAACCTACCTTGTCCAGGCAACTCATGCCACACAGAGTGGATCCTCACCCAGTCACCACTAGCTCTGACCTTCAAGAGCTTCTGGCTGTTTCGGGTTACATCTTCTTTAAAACTGAAGAGTTGTGTCCATTTCTAGAAGGACTGTAGAACTTGCATGGGCTGATATATATATACACACATATATATATATACACACACACACATACATACATACATACATACATACATATACATATGGACTGCAGAGCCTGCATGGGTTGGTGTATATATATATTATTCATATATATATATATATATATATATATATATATATATATGGAAATACTTAGAAGAGATTGTCCTGACACCCAGAGCTGAGTTAGTGAGTCAGGATTCTGCTGTTGAGGGCAAACTGCAGAAAGAGGCCCTTTATCTTCCCTTTCCCACTGTGATGTGACTCACCCAGGCTGGAGGGACACAAAGACACAGGTTACTCACATCTTCCTCCTTGGCCACCTCACAAGGTGGGTCATCCCTGCCTGGCCCCACCTGGGGCCTGCTCTATCCACATGGCAAGTGGACTCAGGGACAGCTAAGGGAGAAAGGCCAAACAGAGTCCTGTGCCACTCTAATGTAGGCGACACAGCAGTGGCAAGGTCACTCCTGCCCTTTCCCCTGTGGGAAAAGCCAGTCACACGGCCACATGGACATGAGCTTGGGGGCTGGCGTTGATGAGAAGGGGATCGGAGAAATTCAACAGGAATCATGTGAGCTGAGTTTCAGATACTCGTAATGCTGCTGTGAATCACTCGTAGAGGTTTCCTGTCCCTGTCACAGCCTCTTTATGAGCTTAGAGAGGAACAGACACTTATTTCCTCAACAAGTCCCCCAACTTCTGTCCCAACTTGTGTAAACTTAATCTGTAAAATACAAGCTGTGAAGGAAGGGGGGGGGCAGAAGGAGCCAGAAATGCTGATTATTAAAAATAAAAGGAATTTAAAGTAAAATTTTAAATAATAATTTATTGCTTAATAAATAAAATTTATTTTTAATTTTTATTTTATTAATTTATTATTTAATAAATAAAAGGAATTTGTGTGCATGTATGTTGTTCAATCATGCGAATGTGCATGCATGTGTATGTGTGTGTTTGACATTCTTCAAAAATTGACATTGCCATCCTCCCCAAACCTTGCGGTTTTCTGAATCTGTGAGTCATACTTTCAAGTCACCAGAACTGACTTTACAACAAATATATATGCTCACAAGAGACTTTTTAAGAAGAAGCCTCCACTTACCCTCTGCCCCATCCCAGGACAGAGTTCCACCCTTCAGCCCCATGTTCCGCAGAGGAGGCCACTGGGGCCCAGGAACTGTGACCCCGGATGACAGCATCCAGCTGGGACTAAGACCCTGGAGGATCATGAAGCAATTGTGGTTGGCACAATCGGATTGCTTCAAAGAAACAACAGAACTATCCAGAAAGCAGCTGAGCATATCACATGTTGAAAGAAAATCAATTTATAAAAACCTCCCATTCAGGGTCAGCCATGTCTTATCGACAGGGAGAACCCAAGCTAACTGGGCTGTCAGGAACACATGGTGAAGTGCCTGACCCCTAAGCACAAAGCGGAGGAGAGGGGATATGTGCATGCACACTCAGGTGGAGACTTCCCAGCTCTCAGGAGACCCTTCCTGAGCTCTCCCATCCCGCATCACCTCACTCACCTCAAAGGCACTTTTTCTGTGGGTCAAATTTAAGGAAACTTTGGCCAAGAAGAACACTGACCCACTTAGGGGAACCAGCATTTCCTGTCCAGCAACTCTCTGAGCTGGCGGTGCCCTCAGTGAGAAAGGAGTGAGCAGGTGACATCGATGTGATTGCCTGTGTACGTGATGGCCATGAGAAGCCCAGGCAAGCTCCTTTGAAATGGCAGGGCTGCTGTCCAAAACCCGGGTGGTTTATTGCTATTCATAGGCACCTTTCAGTGGCGGATGTCCTGGGAGGCTATTTTTAGCAGGGATAAGGTCTACTGGGCTGTTGGCTGGTCATGTAAGCTGGTGTGTATAGAAAGTGAGAAAGTCTAGTCTCTACTTCATAGAGCCTCATCTTGAAGATGATGGTAATGATCATTGTCCCTGAACCAGATAACAAGTTGTGTGGGCTTTCCCAATTGCTCCTGGTGCTCTTTCTAACAGGTAGAAAGAGGCCACCTAAGATTTCTCTCAGACTTTATTCTCCAGGGCAATCCTCTCTCCCCTCCTAACAGGTAGGAAGTTTCCTCTGCTGGCTTTTGTACCCCAAGCTAGGACTGCCCTCCAAGTGAGCCGCAAGACCATCTCAAAGCAAGAACTGTCTGCAGAGCCAGCTGGCAGGACCCTGCGAAGGTCTACCTGCTCAAGGAAAAGGTAAACATTTCATAGAAATGGCAGGTTCTAGAAAGGACACCTGGCCCAGTGGCAAGAGAGTCCG